CTTGCTGAGTCCTGTGCTGCTGGAGCAAGACTGTTAATGATACCTGAGTTAGCTTGTTCAGGTATGCCTGTGCTACACAGTTTAGCATTACCTAGAGAGACAGAGAGAGACATTTGTATCATTTTGGACCCACCACTAGGTAAGGATAACAACTTTCTCTAGTACATTACAGATGGATAATTGATTTGGGATCATAGGAAGAAAATTGATTCCTATCACGAAACAGGTGATGAATAAAATAACATCTTGAATGGATGAGTAAGAAAAGTAACTCTGGGCCTGGTTCTAACTTTGTGTGTGCTGACAAGGAGTTATTCTCTGGAAGTCAGTGGAGTTATGTCGATAAAAAAGTTAAGTGAGGGAAGGATCATATCCACTTGATGCATATGTGGCTAGACCAGAGCATTATATTAACTGCAAAATTACACAAGCAAACAAAATATGCATAACTTAAATTCATTTTTAATTTAGATTATATGCTTTTTTTCTAAAGTAGTCTGATTCCTGTACTATAATGCACTGTGAGGTACAGTTATCTTTGACTGTTTTCCCATGAAGAAATCAAAATTAAATTCTGAGCCAGTGTTCTACCTGCACAATATACGTAAAATTGCGAGAAGTCAAAGGTCATGCCTAAGATCATATGGGCCCACACCTCTGGATTAATAGGAAGAAATAGTGATCTAAACATTGCAAATATAACTTTTGCTAAAAATTTATGCATGTGTATTGGAAAATAAAAAGATTCCTAAAAAGTTTTGTGTAAAACACCTTCCTCTGTCTCCTGTAATATTTTACACCTATAAATAATAAAAAAGGAGACTGATAACAGTTACTTTATGTAAGCAAGCTTAGAAATCATGCTCAGATAAGCACTTTTGACCTAAATCTTGTAGCACCTCGATCTGACACACAACCCCACAACTGTGAAATTCTGTATGAGATTTAGCAGTTTGAAGCTGCCAACTGACCCAGCCATAAAGCAACCAAAGATAAGGATTTAAGGTACGATATGATACAATTAGACATTCACCTCCTATTTATTTCAGTACATTTCAGAATTTAACCTAGTTAAAAGTTGTAAGCTTTTTATTAAATTGTGAATGTTAGTTTGCCATATATTTATAGGTGACTAAGAAAAAAAAGTCTTACAAATTAGTCTCTTATGAATGAAAAGATTAGTTCTATAGAAAGGTTAAACAGGAGATGCTTCTGTAAAACTCTTCTAGACATGCAAAGATAAAGGATGGTTTTACCACACAAAATAATCAGATACAAAATAGCTGCTCAGGAACAGCACACCTAAGGAGTACTTTAATCAGACATTTAGGTTACCTGCCAAAAGGACCATGATCTCTTCAAAATGCAATGAGGATTAAAGTGTTATCTAACACAAACAGAAAACTAACCTTGCAGTGGAAGTTCGAAATGTGTTCATCATAATTTTCATGTCTTTGGATAGAGAAACCAGCTTTTTCAGCTAGATTGCAAAACTGGTTTAAAGTATTCCCTCTGAGTGGAGCAAATACCATTGCTTTTCCCTAGAACATTAAAAAGAGAATTTACACATTTTTAGAACTGGAAAGAACCAGATATAACATATACCTGACTAAGCTTTTAACATACTCATGCAGGAAAAGTTAATTGTTCTCTTGGAAAAATATTGAGATTGTGTAATAAAACTGTTTGTAATATGAAGGATCTCTCTGATTAAAGGAAAGCAGAACGGAAGGTCATCAATTTACAACTGCAGTAAGTTTGATTCTTTTCATACCATTGTCACTGCATATTACTGAAATAAAATTCTGAAAAAATATGATTATGTGCATACAATGCAAAACCCACCAGTCTGATATATCACAGGGTCATGGGGGTGATTTTCCTCTCTTGCACCAGTGAAAATTAGGCAGGCTTCTTTTGAATCTAACAGTGTAAAACCAGTGGAAGGAAGAGGAGAATTAGATCCAATCTTGGTATAAAATATATATTGTATACCACCCGGGCAGCACAATCAAATTTGACCTGAGATTTTGCAAATTTCATTTCAGATGCTGCACAAGCACAGTAATTTTGGATTTTTCAAGGTGATCAGGCTGTTTTTCATGACAAGGCATTAAATTATGGTCCACTGACTAGATTTGTTTCCTTTGTTCAGCATTTAAAACAACAAAAATGACTTTACTTTTTTGACTTGATGGATTTTAGTACTACTTATTCCATGGTAAATTTTAGTCCAGAGACTATAGCACTTGATATAACAACTCTTGAAATCTTGCTTGCAAAATTAATTCAAATTGGCTGACTATGTGTTTGGTCACATGGAATGAAAATTGGCTGAATGATTGTAAACAAATGGTAACATTTAACAACAATGTATCAAGTTGAGGGGAGCTATTTGGTTGGGTGCCACAAGATTCAGTGTTAATTCACAAGAGGTAAAAGTGCATGCTAATGAAGTTCACAGAGGATGCTAAATTGTGAGGTGCTAAATTTCAGAGGAGACAAGTACTATATCTACTCAAATAGATATAATTCCCCCCACCCACATGTCTTGCATTCGCAAAGAAGTAAACTGCATTAAATATATTGTCTACTTTCAGATTGCTGTTAAAAGCAGCATGGGCTCAGTAATAAAAAACAACTATGAAGTTGATTAAATAAAACCAACACTGAACATGATTACACAACACATAGCCCATATTGGGCAAACATGCTGATGGGAACTGTGTGTGTGTGTGTGTGTGTGTGTGCGCGTGCATGCATGGCCTGGAGGTACTGCAATACCAGATCAGCCCTTGGATAGGCCAGAGCAAGCTCTGACACCCTCCCTTGGTGCCAAAAAAGCTGACCGGATCCTAACACATTTTTTTTAACTTTGTGTCTCAGAACAAACTAGTCAAATCAGTGAAACATGGGAAGGCAGCAGGAGTAAACAATGTACTCACTGATATGATACTACACCTAGGACCCCTTACAAGACAATGGCTCCTTGACCTATTCAATGCATACATAATGAGTAAACAAGTACCATCAGTATGGAAAAGGCAAGAGTCATAGCTCTGCCCAAACCAGGGAAAGGCGTTTCATCACCAAAACATTATATATTGTTCTCCCTCTTCAGCATCACCTACAAACTCTACAAACAACTTATCCTGCTATAAATTTCACCCTTGGTAGATTCCCAACTTACAAGAGACCAAGAAGGTTTTAGACTAGGTCAATCCTGTGCAGGCCAACTATTAAACCTCATGCAGCATATCGAAGACAGTTTCCAACAAAAGTTGATCACTGGTGCAGTGTTTGTTGGCTTATCTGATGCATATGATACTGCCTAACACCATATCATGATCCACAAACTGTACCTTATGAGTGATGACTTAAATGTAAGCCAAAGCATCTGTAACCTCTTGTAGAACATGCACTTCTACATGGAACTAAATGGCCACAAAGGAAGATGGCGCCCCTAGCAGAATGGCTTACCACACAGCAGTGTGCTTGCCTCACTTTTATTCAACATCTACATTAGTCATGAGCCACTTCCTTCCGGATGTCAGCATTTCATCTATACTGACAAACTCTGCATTACCATACAGCAAACGAATTTTGAGGACACAGAGAAGATCCTGGAGAGGGCACTGAATAAGATGTCAGATTACTACCTGCATGTCACCTGGGGTTTCATCAAAAACACCCGGTCTGCTTAGGGATAACACTAGACCATACATTTACTTACAAAAACCACATATTAAATGCCAAAGCCAAGGTCAATATACAAAACAACAGTGTAACCCATCTGAATAAGATATATAGCAGTACTCACTGAGCACAGTCCCCCTCAACACCAACTGTTTTTAAAGTCACGGTGAGCATTTCATATATTTTTATTTCCTTTTGACTCCCATAGGTGAGTTGTGCCTTTCTCATTTCCAATCATTTCTGTTTCTTCACCAGCCTTAAATGTATGGATAACATCACTAAACAGATCCCACACAGTTCACCCAAAATCCCTGTCAGCTCCTCTCTTAGCCTATCATATATGATTAGTGTTACCACACCCTCCATGAGGTGAAGCCAGACCAGGGTTCCCTATCTACCATCTTCATATACATTTTTGGAGGATCCCAGGACTCATGACAAGAACACCCAGTTCCAGTCATGAGAGGGCCCTGTTGCAGTCCCAGGGGCATCCACGACGCCCCCTGGTGGCTCTGGGACTGTGCCCCTCTCAACCCCTAGGGCGCCTTTCCTTCTCTCCTGCCACACCTTGATGTAATAATAATAGGGAAGCTGCCCATGGGCCTTTGCATGGGCCCCAGACCCACTGGACCCCTACTGGGGTGCCCTGGCACCCTACTGGCCTCTACTAGTCTCAGACCCCTTGCTGGGCCTCTCTACAGCTGTGCTGCTGCAGGGCACCTAAAGCCATAGGAGCTAATTGTGTGGCTCCAATCCCCTCTACACCATGCCCCAAGCCTCATGGGTGTTATTGTAATGTTATTCTCCTGTTGGACCCCTGACCCATCTGGTCACACCCCTCTTGGGTGCCAAGCCCCTGTCTGGTTCTGTGGTCTCACTCTGCCCATCCCGGGCTCAACAGTTGCTCGAGCCTTGAGCCTGCTCCTGACAGTGGTCAAGGCTACTGCATGCCCCATGGGCACCAATGGGATCTCCATATACCATCCTCACAGTCCCAACCCAAACCCCGGTGTAAATATAATGTAAACATAAGCCCCCGGGCTACAACATAACATAAGGAGGGAAGCAACCCTGTGCACCTTTAAGAGGGAAAACCTGCCCTCACCTCTCAGCTAGCATAGCCTCCTAGCCCTGGGCTATATCTTAGTGAGCTCCCCTAGCCTCACCGGGGATCCAAATGCAGCACTGAAGTGCCTTCAGGAGCCCTGCTGCCAGGAGCTCTTCACCCTGTGGCAGCCAGGGAGAGACTAGCTTGCTAGACCAAGCCTGCAGCTTATATCCTCTCAGGACCCTACCCCTTTCTGGTCGGCAGACTGCCTAGGCTGCCTGGAGGTGCCTGCCAATTGGCCTAATTGCCCTGTTGCTATGGTGACCTGCAGATGCTACACCCTGCCTATCCTGCAGTGCTCCCTTAATAATATGCTTCTGCCTTAAAGGAACAGAGAACCCCAGGCACTCTGTTACACTAGAGTATACACACATGCTGAGCAGTGCTGAGTGGTGGGGTCATCATGGTGTGGCAGGGCACTTGGTGTGCCTGCCACTTTAAGAAGTCAGGCAGTCTGCTGAGCCACTGGCGGTTGGGATCAGGCCTAATTAGAGAGTCAGCTGACCCAGGGGTCAGCAGGTGAGGCTAGGCCTGATCAAGGGAGTCACCAGACTAACAGGGAGATCTGATGGAAGGAGGGCTGGGTATAAGCCCAGAGCCTGAGAGCAGGGCTGGTGGAGGAACATCACCCAATAGGAAGGTTGCAGCTCCTGAATGCCAGCAAAGAGAATGACATCTGGAGGTTTGGGTAGGAACTAAGGGGATGGAGGCAGCTCCTGGGGACCCAGTGTGGAGTCCAGAGCCCTGAGAAGGGAGCTGAGGTGCCTGGGGCTTGGTGAGGGAGCTCAGAGTGCAAAAGGGCCTAGTGAGGAGCCAGGCAAGCCTTGGAAGAGGGGCTGAGAATTAGTGGGCCTGCTGAGGAGCTAGGTGAACCCTGAGAGAAGGGTCGTATATGTGAGAGACCTAGGGAAGGGTCTGGGTGAACCCAGTGAGTGTAACAGAGCACAGGGGCCTACTGAGGGACTCAGATATGCCCAGAAAAGTAAAGGGGGCTGTGGCCAGAAAGATCTATTGGGAGTTCCAGATGGGCTCAGAGAGAGGGGGAATGATCTATGGAGGGGCCCAAGGGGCAGACCCACAGAGAGGAGAAGGTTCACTGCTTGGAGACTGACTCTGGGGACCTCGACTAATTCAAGCTGGGGTCAGGGCCCAAGAAGAGCCAAAGGGTGAAATAGCCCACTGTGAGAGCCTCTGAGAACCAGAAGCCTGGAGTCTTGACTGGCCTGGAGGCAGAGCCAGGGCCTAAGAAAGGCCAAAGATCCCTGTGAGGGGGCCACAACTGAGAGAAAGGGGTCAAGCAGTGGGCAGCCTAGGATAACGATGCCTGGTGCTGGGCTGTCTGAGGAGAAGGGTTCAAGGATAGGGGTCTGAAACTGAGTTGGGGGTCAGTGATAGAGGAATCAGAGTGGAGACGGAGCAAGGACAGGGGTCTTGGTAGTTAGCAGCTTAAGAGGGATTCAGGAGATCTAGGCAGAGCCCAGAGAGGGACATGCAAGATCAAGTAGGCCTGACGACCGATCCTGTGTAAGACCTATAACTGCACTCTACTGGAGCTGGTTGCTGTGATGGGCCTGTCTATGGCAGGGAAGCCTCCATGAAATGCCATGCCTGGGCCACTCCAGGGGAAGGCAAGGATGGAGCACCAGAAAGCCTTAGCTCCCACTGCCTTGTGGGTTACCCTGTGGAGGCGGAAAGCTAGTGACGAACACCTTGATAGAAAACCACATGGCAAAGAAG